CTTCCTACAGATGTTACATACACCAAAGAAAACACGAGACAGCAAAACAGCTGATTTATGTAATTCCAATAAACCTGGCAGATTGCCTGGTGAAGGTTGTTATATAATAACAGTACAGGAGCAATGGAAAATCTGCGCAGAACTCTGTAGCTCGAGTCACACAAGGACTCGGCTTCCCTTGGCAAAGGATACTCTTCCCTTGGCAAACAAACCTCTTTACAACTTTTTATTATCAGAATGGAGTGAAAGAAGTGCACGGTGCTTGATCTAGGTAACTGGAATATATTGGTCCATTTCGGCCTCATCTGACTCCATCCTGGACCTTTCTCTGTGACCGTGACAAGAAGGAAGCTCAGTAAAGTTCCCCCAGTGTACCCAGCTCTGTACACCCATCTCGTTTTCTAATTTATTTTTTTTTTTGAATGATAGGAAACTGGGTAGAACCAGGCCAAGGCTTGTGACATCCATATTATCGACTCCTTAAACTCAGCATTAGCAATCTTGGTTCATTTGATCTCATTTCATTTCAGCAATTGCTCAAACTCTGGAATTTGTCGAACTTCCCACCTGCCTTTTCTAGATGGCTGGGGGGGCAGGGGATCTTTCAACGTGATCACACCCTTTGCTTCTTGTGATGGTCAGTATAGTTGCAGGGTAGATAGTGTTTCTGGTGCCACTTCCCTGCTGTTGTGAATTTTGAAACCTTTAAAGAAAGCTGGTAGGATGAATAGATCTTTTTGCCCTTCTGTCCCTCTTGCCGCAAACAGTTGAGCAGTGGATGTGAACAAGGTACCTTAAGTGGCATTAAGGACTGCTTGTTTCCTTGCCATGCTTCCAGAGGTCTGTCTGTAAAATGTCTCTTGGGAAGCTGAGCATGTTGGCTATGAAAACACTGATTGTGTTAAGGCTAAAAAGAAAATGGATACCCAAAAAAGAGCAAATAAATCCTGCCTGCAGAATGGAAAACACTCCCAGAAGGACATGCTGTTTTGTGCATAATCCATTTAAGATTCTGATGAGTCACCTCAGCTGGAAGCCCGAGTCGTGACTATTAAGCGACAAAGAACAAGCAGTCACTGGATCTGTCTCCTTGGAGACACTCGGCCTGGGAGTTTACACAGTATGCTCTGCTCTGCTCCGCTCTGGGGATGTGTTTCAGAAGCTGCTGCATCTCTCCTCTGTCTAATGAGCTTGTTTATGGATTCTGTAGCAAACGGTGCCAGAAGTGTTAATGACCTGGAAAACAAAACTCTGGGGAAAAAAAGGGCGGTGGGGGACGGGGACGGACACTCGAACCAAAAGGACAGGTGCACCTTAACTGTCCCTGGCAGCAAGAGCTATTTGAACTTCCTTGCATGTTTTTCACATGATGGGGCTGGCTTGAATAGGAGGGCCTTGCAGGCCAGCCTACTTGAAATCCACAGTGACTTTTTGTGGCACTCAAGGGTGGCCTTTCTTTGGTACACAAAACCTGGTACAGGGACACCAACTAATAGTCAACCGTTGTTTTGTCTTTTTAAATATATCTCTCTCCTGCAATATTAAGGATTCTTGCACAGAGTCTGACTCTCCAGTAGTGATGTTCTGTACCAAGGTATTGACCAAAAATTGGCAGATGCCCTTGGAACGGATCTAAACCATTTCATCTCCATGAAATTGATGCCTGAAATTTGGTCTTAGAAGATAAAAAAGGCAATTTAACTCTGGCTTTGGACTGACAGCAGTATAGTGACTGCATTGCTGCCTGCTCTCCCTTGTTCTTGTCCTTAATGCTCCAGGTCCTGGAGTCTAATGATTAATTTAAAGCTAAGATTTACATTACAAAAAGTCCTTATACTTGTGGTGAAAAGCTTGAAAATGTGTGACCCCATTATAACTTCAAGGCTCAGACACCTGAAGGCAAAGAGGCAAGGGGGACTTAATTTTTAAGGCAGTCTCAGGCCCCACAAAACAGTGACTCTCTTGTCTTTTGGATAGTCAGGATTCGAGTTCCAGCTACATCACAGGAGTATCACGCACTCTTTGGAAGAGGAATGAATAGATTCCTACTGCTGTTGTAATGCTGTCACACATCTGCCCCTAACGGCCTCACAATGAATAGTTTGTTTCTGCCCATTGCTTCCGCTCAGAGAAGAGAATATATTGCTGCCTGGCTGCACTGGAGAAGTAGCAGCGTTAACAGTTTGCAAGTAGGAAGGGGTCCATCGCTCACCCTCCATCCCATTATTAGACAGAGTAGGACAGACAGCCTCCTGCATTGCTTAGCCATGACCAGTGAGTCATTGGAGGATGGACATCTGTTAGGAATGTCTCTCAACCACACACATGTGCAGCTCTCGAGTAATAATGCCTTTTCCCTCTACCTTACCTTGAAAGCAAATTTCTGAAGGAACAGCGGTGTTACAAAAAATGCCAGATGCCTTTGTCTTTCAGTACTGACTTATCTTGCAGTCTCTGTTGACTTTCTAATAACCCATTTCCCAATAGCTTTCACATGATTGAAATAGCACCCCGTGTTCATGACACAGATAGACTTGTCTGCAGTGTCCTTAGTGTTCTGTTGCAATAGCCTACTTTTTAATATGTAAGAAGAGACTGAGAGTCACGTAGCTTTCAACTAAGGTACATAGCCTGACAGCCAGTGGGTTCATTTTTAACACTTACCAGTGTACTTATGATTTCTCACTGCTTATTGTCTGCCAGAATAGAGGGTTGTTGATTGTATTTATTTATTTATTTATTTATTTTAAAACCCATGTATTTGTTTTTTGTAGGTCAATTCTGGAAAAAGAAGGACCAAGGTCACTTTTCCGAGGATTGGGTCCAAACTTGGTTGGAGTTGCACCATCAAGGTAAAGATCTTTAAATTGCTCGATAATAAACATAAAAAGGCATATTTTAAGGCTGTCACAAACGCTGTTCTGTGTTCAAAATCACAGTGAAGATGTTTACAAGGTTCTTATTAAACTAGGTTTGGTTATAGCTCACTTAAAGAATTAACTGTTGACCAGGGATAAGATAACTGTAGGCCTCTGACTAGCAGGCCTGTCACAGATTAAATGACTATGGACAGGTTCTTTAACTCTTCTACCTTCATTATCCGATTTGTAAATAGGGGCTACTCCTCTTTGTAAAGCAGTTGCAGATCAATGGAGGAAAAAGTGATAAGTAAGTGAAAAATAAATCTTGTGTATATATTGAGCCATTCTTTTTGTGTTACACAACTCAAAAATGGGTTGTATATTACTGTTTAATACTACTGTAGCACATTTTAAGGTACAGATTTATAGAAGGCAAGAGAACACCTTCATATGCTTTTTATGTCTGTTTACTGCACCTAAGAATCCACCAGGCTTTCTATGGCAGTTTTATTGGTTTCAGAAAAAATATTTCTTAGATATGTATCCAAGCTGCTCCTCTTGATATTTGCTTTTCATTAGCTACAAGATAGAGACAAGCAGAGAGGGAGCTTGGGAATGGTGGACTATTGCATAAAGGAATGGATTTCAGTTAGTACTAGCAAGTTAGTTTATTTTAAAAAGGAAAGCAGATTGTTAGAAAGGATGTTACAGCTTGTTAGAAAGGATGACTTGGGGAAGTGGTCATAAATTGAGAAGTTTGTGAGTGCAGAAAAGCTGAGTAATAATTTTATTAGTACTTCTGTAAAGTGATCTAGCGCTCTTGTGAAAAACTACAGGTCAGATCCAGAAAAAGGGCCTTACAGGTAGGTGCCTCACATTTTGACACTGAAGGTTCCCAGAGTTTGCTATTGTAAATGCTGAGAACTGTTCCAGGGCTCAGCCCCATTCTCGCTCCTAAGCCCAGTTCGGAGCCAGAAAGTTGGCAGTCGTCTCCTGGTGTTCTTGTATCATGCCTAACACGTGGGGGCAAATGCAGGGGCTGCTGTTGCGGAGGAACAAGACGTGACACTGTGCCTGATACAATAGTGGTTACAGCTCCTGCCAGAGATGTAGGAGATGCTGCTTGAAGGGATTCAAAGTGACACCTCCCACCCTCCAGGGGAGCGTCCTAAACATGAGGCTGTTGTAGGTGGCGCAGCTTCAGCAGGGGAGGTGGAAAGATGGTGGCGGGGGGGTAACATCACCTCTTTTTTTCTCTGGCAGATGCATTTAAAAGAACAAGGAACTTGCCCAGCTCTTTGAAAGAGAGAGTACAGGCCCCTACGTGTTAGTGGAGCCAGGATTAGAACCCAGCGACCCCGCTCTTCAGTCCTGTGTCCTGTCCACCAGACTATGCTACCTCCTGTTTTGGGTTGATTTAAAAGGAAAACATTTTGCTCTCTAGCTATGAATGCAAACATCCCATTGGAGGCTGGTGCAGTCTAAGTCTAGTTTTTCTAGATCAAAAAAATTGGGCAGGCCACTTCTGAGAGAGACCTTGTTTTTAGACCTGTGGGAAGACGCGCTAGTCGGAGTTGAATGTTTAGAGAGACGCTCTATATGAAATTTTCCTTTTTCTTGCACAGGGCTATCTACTTTGCATGCTACTCCAAAGCCAAGGAGCGATTCAATGGCATTTTTGTGCCCAACAGCAACATTGTGCACATTTGCTCAGCGGGCTCTGCAGGTAGGTAATAGCTGTTCATCTCCCTCGCTGTTTTGCAGTGGTTTTGAGCTACCCAGCCTTCCTCCTGTAGTGGGCTAACTCTGTCAATCATACTGTCCAGCTGGGATCGCAGCCCTCCCACCCCTCATTTGCGCTCTGTTCCAAAAACCTCTTCAGAGGGAGAGATGAAATAATTGTATATGTGAGACTGCCCTTCATTATTTCAGAGCCCACCATGCCATTCCCCTGTACAGTATAGCTGCTGTTGTGGGCTGCAGCAAATACATTTCCCCATCCTCACCCCTCAAGCAAATTGTGCAGTGAATTGGAAAGCAGAACAGGGTTTTCTCTATCTCTATGGTGCCAGGAATAATGTAGCCCTATCTGATTGGCCCACTGCACACTACCGTGGTGCAGCGAGAGAGAAGCTTTGTGTTAATGTGCACAAATCATTGGCTCTTTCTGAAAATACACACTTGAGCTTCCTGCGTGGGCAAACATAAGAATTCATTGCTGGGAGTCAAGAAAGCGAGTCTTTCTAAGAAACGTGCCCAGCAAATGACCCCCATAAAAGCCTGAGAGCAAGAGAGGTGACTGAGTTCAGGAAACAAAGTACAAGGCATGGTTAAAAATAAAAGCTGTTGAGCTGAGAATTTTCAGTTCTCTTCAAAACAGGGAGATAGGAGGCAACTTGGCAAGCTCACCCCTGGATTTGTACATACCCAAGCTTACCCCGGGATTTGTAAGGAATATACTCCTTCTGCACAGCTAAAAAAGTGACGTTCTGTAGAGCGTCTTTTCTTACATCTGGCAGTTTTGCAGCTCCCCTCTTATGCAACTTAGTATCAGTGCAAACAGGAAGGAATTTATTATAAATCTGTGTTACACGCCCCAGTTATGTAACTTGGCTGTGGGAAGCTGTGACTAGTACATTTTCAAAAAGTCCCTCCAATGCTTTGGAGAGGGGGAACAAATAAAACTCCAGAACACACCAAGCAGATGCCTGTGTAGGTTTGTGTGCACGCAGTCAGCCTCGGCAGAGAGATGCTTAACTGTTGGCATAACCCTGTGGGAGGCTGGGGATTGTGATCAGTTTTGAATCCTGCTGGATGTAAGAGTCACCCTGCAGAACAAGGCACCGAGGCTGAGATTTTTTAACATGCCTAAAGGTGATTCAGTCGGAGCAAGAGACGCAATTCCTCAGTCACAACCTACACATAGATTGGTTGTGTGTGGTTGGTTTTGTTTGTGCCAGCATAACTCTGTTGCATAGGGGACAGTCATACTTTTACATTTTTAACAAACCACTTCTACTGACATAACGTTAGTCTGCGTGCCGATATGCCAAAGCAGATAGACTTTATAATGGTGAAGGTAGGTACATTGTGCTGATGAAACAGTCCACACATGGGGCAAAGGGGGGACAGACCATTTGAATGATACTGCAGTAGTTAAAGTTGTACAGCCTGTGTACAGATAAGGTTTTGGACTCCTTTGTAAAATCTCAGTGTTAAAAGTATCTGTAGAATAAGTACTGCAGTTATTGAGTGATGACCAGCAGTGGAGTGTTGGTGCCTTATCCTTTTGTGGAGCAAAACTGCTTCCATGGATATTTACCAGGGGTAAAGGTTTATTGACTGGGAAACTAGAAGGAAGCAAGCTGTTAACTTTAAAAAAAACAGCATTTCCTTGATCTCATGCAGCATGTATATTTGCCTGACTTGTGAAAGAACCATATCCTAACTGAAAATTATTTTTTAAAGTTGTGTACATTCTCTTTCAAGTTGGTAATTCAGTATTGCCAACCCCACCGTGTCAAAAATCATGAGACAAACTCTTAAAAAATCAAGAGATTGGCATGTAGATCATGACATGCTGTTTTTGAAGTGGGGTAGCAGGGGTTCTTTGTGAAGGTGTGGGGGGCTCTGGGGGTGTGTGTGGGGTTTGAAGCCTGGGGAGCAGGGGGTCCCACACACCCTGGGAGGATGCGAGATGCTGCAGCTCAGGAGTGAGAGGCAGCAGCAGGGGTGGAGGGGCTGTAGCTTGGGAGTGAGGAGCAAACACAGAGACCAAGACAGCACCCAGCTGATAAGTGGAGGGGAAAGGGTGGGGTGGGGAGGGAGGAAGTGGGACTGGGACAGGAGCAGGGGCTGGGGTGAACGGGGCCCTGGGACTGAGGCAGGTCATCCAGAGGCGATGGGGTGGGGGGGCCACTCCCTGCAGCAGTGCACCCCACCAGGAGATGCATTTGGAGGGGGGGGCAGAGGCAGGCTGCCCACTGTAAGCTGGGGCTCTGTGCCCTGATGCTTTTGCCCTGGAAGCTCAGCCATGCAACGCCATTGCTGCCTGCTGGGTGGGCAGCTGACATGGGGCAGGGTGGGCAGCTGACATGGGGCATGCTGGCCACACGGCATGTTGCCTGCCCACCCGGTGGCAGGAAGCACACTGGTGTCACACAGGTGAGCTCCTGGGGCAAAAGCAGCGGGGCACAGTCCCCTGAGCCCACAGCGGGCAGCCTGCCTTGGCTTACAGGGGGCACGTGCCCCCCATGTCTCCCCCAGGGGTGCACACTGCTGCAAGGAACTTCCCCCTTCCCCCCACCCCCGATGCCTCTGGACATCTTGCCCCAGGGCCTGTTCCTGCCCCTCTGCCTCCCTCAGCATGGGGGCCTCAGTCTCTTCCCCCACCACCACCCCTTCCCCTCCACAGACTAACCAGCTGGGAAAATCCAGAGATCTGAGGGTCTGATCAGGAGATCGTGAGTTGGAGTTATTTTGACTTAGAAATCCCAATTCTCGCAATGTTTTCCCAACAGTTGGCATTACTGGTAATTTTCAAATTCGAAAGAGAAATAGCACAATAATGCTCCTCCAAATGATGACAAAAGTGGAAATGAACAAACCTTCAACTAAAGTGTTTTTTAGACAAACTGTTGGTTTGAGTTTCTTTTTTTGTCAGTCTGGGGAACTTAGCTTACTATTGTGGGAACATTACTGCAAGACAACTCCATCAGCTGTCTCCAATTTAAGTTGCCAAAATGCCCATTTAAAAGCCATTCTAAAATAACCCTTAATTAGAGTGGATTTAGTTAATGAGATGGCCCAACAGCACCACCTAGAGCAGAGCTTTCCAAACTTTTCATGTTGGTGACACACTTTTTAGACATGCATCATTTCGCGACACAGTAATTCAGTTCCGGGGGAGGGGCCAAGGGAAGCGGACGCGAGTAAGGGAGCTCCGCGGTGCCCTTCCGCAAAATTTTCTGCATTTCGCGCGACACACCTACACACTGCCGCCGACACACTAATGTGTCGCGGCACACAGTTTGGAAAGCTCTGACCTAGAGTCATGAAATATCCCCTGGGGATGGTTTGCCCATGGATTTCAGTTCAGTAAAAGAGAAGTTAATAAATTATTCTAAACCCAGTTGGTAAATATTAAATCTTGCAAATGGCTGTTTACAGCAGCCTGGGTACATGAGATTCTCTGAAGCACCCGTCGCTGTAGTACCTGAAGTGAACAGAGCAAATACCTCTGAAGGTTACTATGGCAAAGTCCTGTGGCAGTGCCATGGTTCCAGACTTACCCACCTGCACTTCTTGTTTTGAACCTCTTCATTGAAACCTGCCAACTGGGACTGGGTAGCATTAAAGCTTAATATTTGCCTAGTTACTGAAGCCACTGCACACACTTCATGAAACTGTGTTTTCTTTCTGTCTTTAAGCTTTTGTCACAAATACCATGATGAACCCTATATGGATGGTGAAGACCAGAATGCAGCTGGAACGGAAGTAAGCAACTGATTGAGAGAAACTGGCTGACACTATTTATGGGAGGCTCCAAAATATATATTTGCTTCTTCCATCCATGAGTCCATAACGAAGCTCTTCCTACCCAATTCAACCACCACAGCCTTTAAGGCACTGGCCTTCTAGCTGACTAGGGTACAGCTTCAACTTGTCAGTGTTGCACTTTAATTTGACAAGGGTCACTACCACTACCCAGTGGGTCCTAGCTTGAGACTCAGAAGACGTTGTGGAAGCTGACAGTGTAGCCAGATTAAAAAAGGGATCGGACATTTTTGGAGGAAAGGGTCATCGATAGTTATTGAGCATGGGAGTTAGGGGTACAGTCTCTGAACCAGAACTTCCTAGACCCTAAATGGTAGATGCTGCAAGTGGGAGAGGAACAGCAGAAAAAATCTGCTCAGATCCTGTTCGCTCACCCATTCAGAATCCGCTCTCTGCCACCGTGTGACGCAGGATCCTAGGCAAGATGGACCTGCAGTCTGACCCAGTAAATGGCAGTTCTTATGTTCAGGTCCTAACATTAGCCCAGACTGTGCGACTTTGGCATGCCTTGGTTGCCACCTGTAAAATCTTTCCTACATCAAAGGGACATTAAGAAGATAAAAGCATTGACTAGTGCTTGTATACGATTGGAATGGAGGCCATATTGAGTATCAAAGAGGTTCCCTGCTGGGTTCAGTTTAGAAAAGGCTAGGACTAAAGTCCACTTAGGCAATACAGAGAGAAACACTGGCTTGAGATCCTACAGACATGGGTTTAACAGTTGGTTCATATACTGCAGTAATTTAAGATCCATAATAACTGGCCACTATCTACACTGAGAACAGGCAAATGTTTTTGGGGGATTTTTTTTCCCTAAATGCCAATAATTGAGTAGTTTTGCTTCCAAGGGAAGTGGTGCTGGCTCCTACCTTGGGGGTCTTTAAGAGGAGGCTTGACAGTTACCTAGCTGGGGTCATTTGAGCCCAGTTTTCTCTCCAGGGCAGGGGGTTGGACTAGAAGATCTGCAAGGTCCCTTCCAACCCTACATCTATGAATCTATGTTAACAATATGTCTTTAGAAAGGTAGCTTTCCCCCTGTCCTGTCTCAGGTCAGGTGGGTGAGATAAAAAGGATCCCAGCAGCTACCAAGAAATTATTGAAAATGAAAATTGTCACAACCCAAAGGGTGTGATATTTTTGTTTGTGTGCGCTTCGGCACTGCTAAATTGTCCCCGCTAAATTGCAGCTTCCTTGCACAGTGGAGTTTTGTGCTGCAAAAGAGAACCCCGGTGCAAGGGAGAATTTCCCGCCAATTTGAAGCTTTCTTTGCAGGGTGCATTTCTTTGTTGCAGCACGGAAGTGCTCGTTGCAAAGAGTTCCCGCCATTTGTATGCTAATTCGAGTCCCATTATTGGCCAGTTCTAAATTATTCACACGTAGCGGCTAGTGATTGGCTTGCTAGCCCTATAAGAGGCTTGAGTGGTTTCCGCCCAAGTTGGAGGACTCCACGAACAAGGGAGGAGGAGACTTCACGCTGTGTGAAGATCTCTAAGCGCTGCGGATCCTTACAGACCCAGCGCATTTCAAGCAGGCAACGGAGGTCTGATCAACCTCTAGCCTCTCCCCGTCGCCGATAGATTCCCAGACGTATCCCTCCCGCGCGCTACGAACCGGACCCACGGAGCCTAGCAAACTTCGTGTGAGTCCTTGCCGGACGACTCCAGAGCTCTTCTACCCGGGTTCGAGTCCTGCAGGTTTACTTTCCCGTCGCCGAAACCCTATGCGACGTACCCTCATGCCCTGCAGGTTCGAGTTTTGTTTTGTTTTCTTTTCTCTCTGTAACCGCAACTTAAGCAAGTTTTCTAGCCTACACCACTGCCATCTCGGTGTAAGTAAACAATCTTTTAAAACTACCGATACGTGTCCGTGCCTAATTCCAGCTCGAAGGCCTTCCCTCTCCGCCCCGGCGTCCCCGGGCTGCTGGCCACAGCCCGTGTGCAGCGCGAAAAGGGCTCGGGTCGCTCCCGGCCTGCACAAAAATGACCGCTGGCTTGTAGATCTTATAAATTATTTATAAAGACTAAGTCCAGCAAATCACTAGGTGGCTCCTTTGAATTGAATGCTGCCACTTACCCTGAAGGGTCATTTCTCCTGTAGGAGGCCATTGCCTCTGGCTTAAGTTGGACTGGAAGGAAATAGCTGGTTCACTTTACAGCAGTGCTTCCACCATGGTAAGCATTTAGATCGCTGAAGCAGTATAACAGAGTAGCCAGGCCGACCTGAAAAGATTAGCACAAGCATGTATCAACTGATTGGAAAAGCCAAGCCAAGTTAGCATTGCAGTCCTTCGAAATGTGACTACAATGCCAACAACAATGAAAGAGCCATTGAAGTCTCTGCAAAGCAGTCCTAGATTCTTGCAGTTACACTTAGCAAGCCCTTCTTGTTCCTCCTGGGTTATTTATCGCTTGCAGCATTTCCATACAAAGTTTGAACCCAAATGTTTTATCTTGTTCTAATTTTATTTTATTTTGCTTTTTAGAGTCGGGGGTTCCAAGCCCATGAATGCTCTGCAGTGCGCTAGATACGTTTACCGGACAGAAGGCATCCGTGGCTTTTACAGAGGCCTCACTGCCTCCTACGCTGGTATTTCCGAAACCATTATCTGCTTTGCTATTTATGAAAGCTTAAAGAAGCGTCTGAAGAATGCCCAGCTACCTCCTTCTGCTAATGGGACTGAGAGGAGCTCCACAAACTTTTTTGGACTGATGTTTGCTGCTGCAGTTTCTAAGGGCAGTGCCTCGTGTATTGCTTATCCACATGGTACATTATTCTTTCCATTTACCGGTTGAGTAGTATGTGTGTTGCCTCTGGTCTGTGCCAACTGATGGGCAGCAATGCTGTAATGTTATTAACTTCAGAAGACACCCTTGTTGTCTAGAGATGCACCTTACTCTGAATGCATCTACACTGAGCTCTTTGGTGTTCCCATTGCTCTTTGTTCGTTAAATAACAAGGCTTGCTAAAAGAAGTTTGCTGCCTGTTCCCCCCCCCCTTCTGTTCTGCACACGGTGCCTCATCTAGCAACCTCCTCACCGCTCTTTGCAGCAGAAGCTTGTATTTCATATTAATCAGATCCTCCAGTCTTTTTATACGGCACCTAGATGTGAGCTAAGTACTTTTCAGAACAAATAGGCTAAGGTTCCTCTCCCAGAGAGCTTATGGTCTGGTTTCATGTGCAAGATGATAATGAGAACAACCCACAAAAGAGGGAGAAGGGGCTGAGGCATAACATGGTACATTTTAGATTATGCAGGGCTTCCCCACCACCACCCCTGCACACACTAATGTGATTCTGCCTCCTGCTGGCAGCTCAGTAGGGATTTATATGAGGCAAAGCTGGTGGGCTGGCCCGTAAGAACATAATGGGTGGCAGAGGAGGGACCTGGAAACAACCACTGCACGGAGGCTGGCTATAAAAATGCCGCTGAGAGGACTGCCTCTTTTCTGTTGAGCAGTATTTCTTTATTCTATGAAACTTCATGGGAAAGTGAGTCTAATTCCCGGCGCATCTGTAGGCCATCTTTCTTCCTTCCCTGTCCATTCTTTTGGACCCAGTGTTTGAGATGCTGGCTGTTATCACAGCTTAAATTATCTGCCTGTAAGTGCCATTGAAAAAAATGCCCCCCCTCAAATGTTACCCTCTGAATGCTTCATATTCTCCCATTAAGCAGCAGATCACATCACAAATCAGGATGAGCAGAGGTAACAAGAAGCCTGATTCATCAGTTAATTCAGTTTTAGTGAAAAAGTAATTTAAATTAATCCAGACCTTCCTCTTCCTTTTCAAATGTCCTTAGTACCTTGTTTAATGGGTGCAACTACATGACACATCTCCGTGAGGTTTTGACACTGACTTTGTTGGATGCCATTCTTAGCCAAAACTTGCAAACAGATTTGACCAGACTTGCATTGCAGCTAGACAGACTGTTTTGGACTTTCATTACACACCTGAGTCACATGCCAATTAGTGTGCAGATGTATCAGCACAGGGAAAAAAATCTGAAGTGCCGTGTCCAAGAAAGCCTGGTTTTTGCAGCAGCCTAGTTGGATTCAATTTAATTTAAAGAATATAAGAATTCCTAAATCTTCTCATCCCAAGCTGTATGCATCCCAGCAAATAAAATTGAATGGATCATATGATGCAGAATCTGAATGCCCTTCCTAAGCCCACCTGCACAGAAGCCAACACGATACATGTGCTGCTTGCTGACACCCTAAAGTTCAGTGAGATGACCCCATGCTGCCATTTGAGGATGGCTCATACACACTCCAACAGTGCGTTTGGCTCTGTAGCTGTCCTAGTGAGGAGACTGTCTCTGTTTTCTGCAGTTTGTATTTACATGAAAGTCGGGAACCCAGTTCTAATTTCCAGTCTTGGCTAATGGGAGCGTCACGCAAAACCTCAGGATGTGTAGATATAAGAGAGCAGTTCATCTGTCTGGCAGCTCGCTGGTCCAGGATGAAACAAGGTTTGGTTGCCCTGTGCTAGAGACCTCTTTCCTTGTTTCTAGGCAGGAGGATCTGAGACACTAACCTAGGGCTCTCTTTCATTTTTCCCCAGAGGTCATACGGACACGGCTGCGAGAGGAAGGCACAAAATACAAGACTTTCTTTCAGACAGCCCGTCTGGTAGCACGTGAGGAAGGCTACCTTGCCTTCTACAGAGGACTTTTTGCCCAGCTCATCAGGCAGATACCAAACACAGCCATTGTGTTGTTCACCTATGAGTTAATTGTGTACCTGTTAGAAGACCGTGATGAGTAGCAGGCCAAGAAGCATTGTCTAGAAAGTAAACACTGACACACTGTGCAGAGTAATTTTTCATTGAATGAATAGCTATTTAAGAGACTGATGCAGATGTTGGTGATGGAGAAAAGAAACGAGTTCTTGTTCACCTGCTGGACATTTTCCTTTTGGATTCATGCTTTCTGGAAGGTTTTGACTCATTAACGTTAATAGTTAATTATAACTTTTTTTTTTAACTTAAAACATGATTCAGAATTTAAACAGCTACTAAATTAAATCACACTATTTAATTTAATTATATGTTTGTCCTTAATTTAATTATATGTTTGTCCTTGTCTTTAAGTACAGCCATATGTGAATTAAGGAATGTACCTATACTATCAAGATGTCTGTTGGACTTATGTTAATTAAAACTGTATTAAAGCAGAAGAACTAATTTGGACTCTGAAACTCAGGCCTCCTACTGCTGGTGTCAACCATACATATATATAATTTTTTTTATTATTATTTTTTTCCAATGGTGTAGTTGCCTGGTGCCCCCAATATCTTTCATTGCATTTCAAAGCTAATGCAAGGTATAGCGTAGCAATCATCACCATGTGAACTTCCAGAATGAACAAAGTGCAACAGCTGTGTAATATGCAACTTTACTGATAGAAACTATTCACTCCAGCATGTCTTGGGAAAGCCGCTGCATTGGAAACATCCCTGTAAAGGTAAAGCAGAGTAGCTATCCTGGAATAAACTTAAAGATATAGTGGAAAGCCACATAATGAGTACCTGGAGAAATTATTTCTGCTATTCTCCTCATTTCCAGTGGCTTGGGGTTTTTGTGTCTTAACTCTTGGATCTGAATGGCTTGGGGAAACTGGTCCCCAAGTTCTGCAAAATGGGAATTTATCTCCAGAGCCCTACAGTGGTATCAGAGAAGTAATTCATTTTGAACAATAAATGTTTTTTAATATGCTCCTGGAGAACAGCAGAGCTGTGATCCGAAACAAGAACGTGCACATTTTACCTCCTCATACTTGCTACCTCACTGGAATATAAAACTTGTATAAAACCAAGCAAGGAAATTATCTAAAATTCAGTGGAAAAAGACAGATCTGCTACTCCAAGCAACCGATGGGACAGGTCTTTGCCCACACCTGACGTAAGTATGTTCAGGTAATCTGTTTTCTGCCCCAAAGGAGCCACATCAAATGAATCTTCTTCCCTAACACTCGGGTCATCTTTCATCACAAGCTAACCCCTGTTGGTTCTGCAGCTCCTGCCACTCGATTCTAAATCAGTTATCCTAGCTAAATCAAATGATCAGACCTTTCCTAGCTATTGTAATGTGCTTTTAGTTAAAGTTTTCTATTTGTATTGCAGTAGCACTCCGTCGTTTAGATGCTATGTGTACGTGCACATGCTGAGTGTTTCTGTGAAGATATTTTGAGACAAATTCAGGGGGTTGGAGTTTGCTTTGTTTGGCTATGCTATGCTCTCCAACTTGCTAGTGTCATTTGCTTTGACAGCTGGGACAAATGCTGTAGTGTTAGAGAGATCAACTTCAGGCTTTCTGGAGCTGAACTGAACAATAAGCTTCTCATCACTTCAGCAGGTGTTGGATTCTTGGGCACAAACAAGTGTTTACAGCCATCTCTGTCTTCACCCAGGAAGTAAACAGCAGACAAACCAGCCAGACCTGAGGGTGTTGCAAATTGACTGGAAAAGTCTATTAGTGAGTAAGGTTATTAACTTCTTAAAAGCAGATGGAATTAAATGAGAATAAATGTGAAAGTTGCATCTAATTACTGAGCCATACTGTTTCTAGATCAAAATGCCAATTTGAAAACTGTCAAATACAACTTCAGGCCCCATAGAAGACGAGTGAACAAGGTGAAGCATTTACACCCATAGAAGTAGCACCATATAGGGAAAG